TACTCATCATAATTGCATACACCTTGTGAAAATAAAGAGTATCTAAGATTATTTTTTTTAATAATCTTAATAAAATCTTGAATAAATATGTATTTAATACATTACAAGGTTGTCAATATTTAATGTATGAAACATCTTTTCCTATAGAAAGTGTTTATATATTTGTAAAAGGGTATATGATAGCAACACACATGGTGTTTGAGCTGTATCTTAACAACAGAATTGTAATTTCTTCCTTTGTCATTGTTGCTGAGTACAAGATGATGCAGATCTTGTGTTGAACGTTTGAGTTCTGTATATATGCATGTACATGTGCGCACACAAGCACATACATGAACACTTCTATCTCACCTAGCAATAGAAGGTCTGTAAAAATCATAAGGTTGCCTGTATGTGGAGCTCATGAGTGGACCAAGGTTAAATTGGGTGTGTGAACCTGCACCGGAAAATGTCCCTGTGAGAAACTTTCAAAATGCTTCTCATGTGAACATTCCTACTGAATCCCCCTTCTAGCCCACTGCAGGAAGGTTACTAACTAAGGGGAAAGGATTGGCTGTCTCGACTGAAAACTCGTGTCCCCATTCCAGTACATAAAGCAGCTTTATAGGTGATATTTTATATGCTCGAAAGTCAGAGAAATGTGTATTTATTTAAATAAAACCCTTGAAGTATGTGGTGTTGCCAAATCAAAAAACTGACATTTCAGATTCATGCAAATAACCTGTTCATTTCTAGCACGATGAGGTAGCAGTCAGAAGTAGTGTATCTGAATGGGACCTACCCTTGTGGGTCAAATGGTAATTTGGAGTAACTTGTGATTTAGGAGTTGAGAATGGTTGATAAGGAGAGCACGGTACAACAAACATGTTGTTCATGCACTTACACTGTCAAATTTGCTTTTTGAAGGCAGAAAGTATTCATAGTACTTAAACTATATATGCGTTCATCTTCACAAAGCTACTGTCACCTTTTTTTATGCTTAGGAAAAGGTAAGTTAAACTCCACAGTTAAGGTGCAGCCTTCAAGTGTGTATAATTAGGACTTTGTACCCTTCGTCAGTGATTGCGTGTCAGAGTAGCACTGCGTTTTGTGATTTTTTTTTTTTTTCATTTGTGTGTTTTTTACAGTGAGTGAAAAAGACACCTGGATCTTTACTCACTCCTGGTTAGTTTCAGGTTTCCAAGCCTGCCACATACAGGCAGGTTAGACCTTTTTACCATTTCAGTATGTGCTAACCTTAAACAGTGCATCCTGACTCCAGCATATTGCTAAGATTTTGTATTTGCAATATATGGATTAGAGGGTGGGTGGACGATGACGTACTTGGTCTGCGTGCACAGCAGGCAAGTTCCTAAGGCTTCTTTGTTTCAGAACTGAATTCCTTTCAAGAGGATATATCTTCTCACTTCAGCTGTTCCCGTAGCGACTATTTAGCTGTGAATTGCATTACTTCTATAAGGCTGTTTTACAAGAAGGCTGTCTCTTCCTTGACAGATGTACCTGTTCTACCTATTGTGTGCCCAGTGTCAGTTTTGACTGTGTGTTCTAGCACCGTTCCAGCTGAGAATTAACTCTTTCCTTTATTGTCTTAAAAGAATGCTTCACAGCATAACAACAGATGATTCTTGTGAAACGCAGAAGGTTTTCCTGCCCATGTAATCTTATTCTTTGGTTTGGCAGAGAATACTTCATGCAAGAATGAAGTAAACTCTCATTCTGCATCTAACATTGCTTGCAGACCTGGCTTGTAGGTGAAGGCAGCGCTGCCAATACTTGTTAGGTAGTTAGCTACCTGCAAGAGTTGCCTCCTTTGTGGAAGCTACATGTTCTAGGGCTTTTGCTTTTTCTGATTCAGTCTAATTGGTTCTGGAAGGATGGTAGGGGGAAAAGCTGAGAAGTCAACAAGAAGTATGTTTACTTCAGAATTGCTCAGTTAGCATAGCCGTACCAGCAGAGTGATTCAGGCAAGACCTGATGCCAGGGAAGATACTTGCCTTTGGAGATGATCCTTCTTCATCTGGAAGTTGCAGGATGGCAGTACTCCTGAAAGCTGCACTTTAGCCCTTTTGCAAAGACAGGAATGTTAAGTGTTAGTGCACTCTGACTACCTGATCTATCAGTGATTGATTTTTTTTTTTTTTTTTGTGTTGTTTTTACTAACTTCATAAGAAGCCATGTGATATAAGCAGAAACAGGACTTCTAAAGATACAAGACTTCTATCTTAGATCGTTGTCTATGTTTTAGTTTTCTAAGCTGTTTTAATTTATCCACCACACAGGTTAGTTGATGGAAACAAGCTCCATTTACTTAGTTTGGTAAATGAAGCGGCCCTGGCAATTGCCTGTAGTGGTAAGGGTGATGCTGGTACAGCCTGTTCTCTAGAGACTGCAAGCTGACCAATGTGGTAAAGACTTACGACTCTGTTTTTCTTTCTTTTTTTTTTTTTTTCCCTTCTCTTCCCTTTACCTTTAATACTTCTTTGTATTAAAACTATGTATTTCCAGCATTTTTTAATGAACTATATAGCCATATAGGTCAACTCTTCCCTAGTGAAGCTATGGGTTATGCATTGATCAAAAGTTGTTGTTTTGAGTCTTGTGGCGTAGGGAGGAAGTTCATAACAAGATAGAAGGTAGGATTACAGTTTGGACTTTATTTTAGTTGAGTAATTTAAATTCTTGTTAGCTTCTCCCCATCTGCTAAATAAGAATAAGCTTAATTAAGCCATGTTTAAGGTCTTCAAGTAGTATGTGCAGAAATAAGGGAATACAGGTTTTTATCAATTTACTTATTAAGAAACCAGTTTTGTCCTATTTTAGATCTCCGTGCAAGAAAGGGAGCTCCTAGTTTGAGTTGCTTGCAGTCCTGTCCTTTGGAAATTGTTGATGCATTCCTCTGTCGTTATGTCAGTGTTGCCGTGTGCTGATTTCCTAATCTCCTATGCAGGACAGAATGAGTGGGAACTACTTAAGAGTTCTAGCATTTTGCTTTCTATCAGTAGTTGGGAGGCTGTTGTGTGAAAGCTCTTGTCAGTCTCTACGAAAAGCAGCTGGACCCCAGAAATTAAAATTTTTCCTGTGTATTTGCACAAGTGTGGTTGCAAAAGAAACACTCGTCTCTAAGCCTCTGAAAACCTTGTTCGAATACAGTTCTGCATGTAAATTGGCTAAAATCCCTCTTCCAGTTACAGCAGTCTTCATGCTCTCATGCGGGGTACAGGAAAGAAAATAACCTTTAACTTGACTGAGGGAGATCCTGGTAGATATTTGTTGTGTATTATTTGGTACAGAATTCCTGTCTGTGAGGCTAATGCTGAGAAATACACTACTGCTGCAGAGGCGAAAAAGTTCAGCTTTTTCCATCAGGGTAAATGAAAGAGCGGGACCATGTGCCTGAAAGGCAGGTTTATCAGACACAGAGCTGAGAGAACTGTTGCATGCCTGGGTTGTGAACTGTATTGCAGCAGGCAGTAAGGTGCTGTGGGAGAGGTGTGTTTGAAGGTCTGTGGATGTAGATGGAAAGTTGAGGAATCCCATCTTTTTTGCCTCTTTACAACATTTTTTGTGACTGCTCATTTATAATTGAAGTGTCAAATTGACCTTCTTTGAGTTTCCTTTTATTTCTGGTTGTTTTTTTCATTGTGATTTTTTTTTGTTTGTTTTGTGGGGGGGGGAGGGGACATGACAGGGATTGTTGTTGGGGGATTTTTTTTGGTGGTTTTTTTTTGGGGGGATGGGGGGGTGTTTGGTTTTGGTGTCTTTTGTTTGTTTGTTTGTTTTTTCATAATCCAGGAGTAGTGATACTTAATTTATTGTAAGTCTCAGAATTTGTGTATCTTTCTCAAGAATACTGTTCACATTGTGATGTCTAATTTGTTTTTTAAGAGGCTGGTTGCATTTAATGTGTTCTGCTGTGTCTAACAATTTGAAGATAAAGTGATTACTATACACATAAATTCAAATGATAAATCAAAAGCATTTCACTGGGTTTGGGACCCCAACAGGAAGTGAAGGAATAGGAAAGCCTTCACACTAGAGATGCTAAGCCTGTAAAGAGCTATTAACATCTACAAAAAACGGTTTAAAATTATGTTCACTTAACACAGTGCCACCGAAGCATCCAGGACTTAAGCAGTCCATACTGCACTGAAGTCACAAAGTCTGTGTCAGCTTGTAAAGAGAACTCTCCAGTGCTCTTGATGGCTTGATCCTTCATCTGAGGCGCTGAGGCCGTATGTAGCTCTTGCCTGATACATGTAATTAGGAAAAATTCCAGTAGGAAGGGTGATGACTTACCTTTTTTTGCAGATGCAGAAAAGGTAAATGTGGCTCAATTGTGATCCTCCTCTACAGTGTATTTTAAGAATATCAGATGTTGCTGAAGTAGCAAAACTCTGTGTGTCAAAACACAATTACTGATAAAAACACAGTTATTGATAATTTGTTTTAAATAGAATAACTCGAATAAATTTAGGCAGAAAATTAAGTCAGGTGTCCCTATTTGTGTATCTGGACTGCTTCTGTCAACAAATACAATTATTAGCAACTGTATTGGAGCACAACAATGTATTAAGGTTACTGAAGTTGAGATAGGAGGAAACATTATCAGTAGTGGTAAATACAAACCGTGGTGTCTGTAAGCACAGCAGCAGCTTTCTCCTGGTTAGTCAGGGCACTGAGATTTTTTTTTTTTTTTTTTTTTAGAAAAAAAAATATTTTTCTAAAAATAGACACAGGCCTTACCTGTGTCTGTTTTTAATCAAAACTAAAATTTTGTTGGAACTGGTTATAGTCCATGGTTCTTTAGGGATGGATAGGTCTTGGCCAAAACCAGGATGTTGGGGCTGCACGTTTTCAGTGCTGAACTTTCTCTTTGTAATGTAAAGGCCATCCTATTTTTCTTGCTTATTGCTCTGTTAGCTTTTTCCAAGTGTAGGAAAACAAGTCACAACACATAATTTGCTCAGTCTTTTTTTTTTTTTTTTTTTTTTTTTTTGGTGGTCTTGTAAATTCGGTTGGATACTGTATGTGTAGGACCTTTAAAATTCAGGCAGTTCAAGCATTTAGGAGAACCAAGTTAAAACTGAAACTGCTGAAATGTCATGTACATATCTCCTTGAATTGTCTGTTGTAGCTGCTTATGCATCTGACCTTTTAAAGGATCTTGCTTTGCTTCTGGTTTGCATGGTCTGCTGCAAAGTCTGTTGTGAAGTCCAAGTAGTTGATCCTCATCTGGAGGCTCTTTTAAATGCTGTGCTGCCCGAGATTATTACTGTGAAAAAAAGAAATGGAGATGCCAGGAAACAGCACAAAAAAGCAGACTCGTGTGAAATACTTCGCAGGACTTTGGGACTAAATAATTCATTTTTTGGTGCTACCATGTCGGTGTATTTCCTGCAAAATTTCTTCAGACGTGACTTGCTCCATGCTTTTAAAGACCATGTGCTTAAGTTAGGACTAGGATTTGGGGAGTACTCAGCTAGAAGAGAGTATTTTTGAAGTTGTGCTGCTTTTGTGCTGCGAAAACCTTTTTACAGAGGGTAAAATTTATTTGTTGGTGTAACAAAAGAATTCTTCTAAGGCGTAAACATTCTAAAAAAATAGGTTTAAAATTTGGCTTCCCTTCTTTCTTATCCTGACAGTATTTGAAATTACTTTGGTTTTCCTTCCAAATAGCAAATGGTTCTTGTGACTGTAATTAACTACAGTTAATTTTTATGGAGTTTCTTTTCCAGCACAACCCTGCCAGCAGCAATACTAGATCGTGGTGCTGTTCTCATCATCATCAGATGGTAGGCTGGTTTTGGTGTTCCTCCTCTGCAGTGTCAGCGCTATGTCCAGTTCTCTCAGCTGCTTCAAGAAACCCCGGTTTGGCAGAATGCATCGGTGTCTTGACACTTGCTCAATGGCATCCACTACTGTCATGTTCTTGTAAATCATCAGGTAAGCCAATACCAGTGTAGCTGACCGGCTGCGACCCATAGCACAGTGAACCAGAACCTTGTCTGCGGAAACAAAGAGAAATGATGCAGAGATGACACTGACTAATTCCCTTTTTTTACAGTGAAGGTTTCTGTGGTGCCCCTGCTCTCTTTGGTGGCCTGACTATACTTACCAGCATTTTTGTAAGACCCATGTTTTTACAGGTGGGGAAACTGAGGCTGTAAATCTTACTGTAGTAACTGAACACCATCTACATTGGAGATTACCCATTTCATCCTATACCAGGTTGCAGAGAAGCCCCTGGGACTGCAGCCTTGTGTTAAATAACATTTGCAAGCCCCACTGCACCCTAACTTTATATGCCTCACAAGTGACGTGTTATGTAAATCTGTGTTTGGACGTAATGACCAAAGCACAGGAGCGTGAGAGGGTTCAATGTGCTATCAGACAGTCTCTCCATGAGGATAAACGGGGTGCACGGAGGTGCCTTTCTCAGTTCTACAAGCTAGACACAGAAGCTAACCGAAGCTGATTATATTTTGTGGTTTTGACAGTAATGTCCTTCAGGATCTAAATTACATCATTTAATGCCCAAATACTTCATTTGTAAAATACAGCTAACAAGGCTTTCTTAAAGCTCAGTAATGTTTTTGAGGGCAGAGGATAAGAAGGGCCATGGACGTTACTAGGCATTTAACAAGGGGGATAGAAAGAAACCACTTCTTAAGCCTTAGTCAAGCTTCTTTAAAAGTCTGGCTAGTCACCCTGTTATACTGAGTGAAAGTAACATTTCACCATCACCCCTCTGAGTCTTTAATATGGTCATCTCCTGGCAGTAGTAGCTTGTCTTGTGTAATGCTGTGAACACAGAATCTCTGCTAGTAGTTTTGATGTCTGAATAGATGTGCCTCAAGATTTAGCTTTGTGACATTGTTTGGTTTAACTTTGGACTTACAGAGGCAGAAAGTCTATGGTTTCAGGTACTAGCAAGGATGTAAGCCCAAGTGAGACCTTCCCAATTTACTTCGTCTGGGGGAGGTGGAGGTTTCATGTGTTTTCACGTTTGATTAACAGGTTTTGAAAGACTTCAAAAGATTTCCAAAAATTACTTGAATCCCTTGAGGGGGTCTCACAAAGGGTTGAACTGCTGAAGGAAGTGGATTTGGAGCACTCTCTCTAACACCCTCCTAAGCTGAATTGCCACAGGAAAAAAATACCTTCTCACAGGGCCAATAATAGTTTATCTCTGTCAGCTATGCCTAGTGAGAAGTGTTGGGTGCAAAGCCATGACTCCTGCTGATTAACTCCTTTGCTTCCAGGCACAAAAGGAAGTCTTGGCACAAGCAGCATTGGTGTGCAATGGATTCATCAAGAACTGCCAACATGAGAGGATAAATGGTTACAGTCTGCATCCTAATCCCAGCAGATAGTCTTAGAGGCATCTTGGCAAAATTCCAGTCTCTCTGATAACTAAAAGTGCCTCTTCCTCTCCTGGAAAATGCTAATCCCTTCTATTATTACTGCAAATATTTGAAACGGATAAAAACCTCTCATTTGTTCAGCCCTTCATGCTTCTCTTTAGAGCTTCCCACCTTGTAAACGGGTTGCTGTTGAGGTGATAAATGCATGATAGGACAAGGAAGGCTTTCCTTTGTGTGGGTGGCAAATGCAGGGGATCTAGGAGAAAATGTACAGTTTTACATTGTTAACAAAGGTAAAAAATGGCTGTACAATGCTGAAATGCCCCCTGCTTGTAGGAAAATGAAGTCTGTCCTTTTTTCTGTGTGAATATTTAAGATCTGACTGACTATTACAGCAAAACACTGATACTGACCTGCAGAGCTGCATCCCTTCTATCCCTTTTGTACCTATCAGTTTTGATGTAAGAACCAGTCTGAATCTTCGTTTTCCAAGATGGAATGCACTCTTGCTCTCTTTGATTCTCACACTTGATCCTTCAAGGTATGGCTGAATATAGAATACCAGTGCACAGAACCAGAGGTCTACTGAGTGGTGGCAGGTCCCTGAACTATTTTGGTCACTTGACTGGGGCTTGTGTTTCTTGAAAATCTGTCTAGATGCACCGCTCTCTTTCCAGAGTCAGATGGAGTGATGACTGCTGAGGTGTTTGGTCAAATGCCTTGGATCTTTGTGCCTGTCTCTCATGTTTCTTCTCATGTTGCTTTTTTTACATCTAGCTTTATGTTCTCCCATGACATTTTCACATGGAAAGAAAATGCTATTCCCCTCTAGTTCACTTTCTGAGGAATTAAGGCGCCAAGGGAATGAGTACTGTATCTGTAGCATAGTAGGGAACTTAAAAACTTCTTAAAATAACGTCTTCTGTTTGGGTTAATCAGGCCTTGCTGACACAAATTTTCAGCTGTCCTATGGTCTGAATTGCATGGGTTTGGAAATCTTTATGCACAGCTGAACGGTAGCATGCATAATTGTGGACAGTTTTGAGTTTGCCTCTAAAACTACTCTTAAGAACATTGAAAGCGGCTCAGATACAAGTCCATCTGCCTGTGTTTTAACTCTGCGGATGCTGATCTGATCAGGGAGTTTCTTCATCATCACAAAAATTTTGAAGGTTAGGTCAGAATTAATGTGTTAGGACTATGTTTTGACAGCATCTGAATTGCTAAGCTTTCTGGCCTGTTGCAGAAAGATAGAGGCTTCTTCATCTGCAGGGAAAGTTGTTCCAACAACACTGACTTGAGTTTCTTCCCAGCAAATTATTGTATGATGACATCTATTCAATGAATTCAACCATTTGGCTGGCTGAAGGTTGCTCCCCAAGCAATGTGTTAAAGTAGACTGATTAGGACATGCATTCTGGTCACAAACGTGTAAACTGTCCTTGTTGCCCTTTTCCCTCTCTCAGTATTTGCTCAGTTCTGATGCAAAGTAGCAAAGGACTGTAATTGTGTTACTGATCAGAACTATTTAGAGCCTTATACTGAAATCCCATGTTGGGGGATAGTTACTTGGTTACTTAGCATGAAATCCTATTAAGGAATATGGGTGCTATTTGTCAGGAAGATACACACAAATAGCCCTTTCCATTAGACCCTTGAAATACAGAGCACCTTTCTATACTCGATGTGCATTCAAAAATAATGCATGTAGTTCTTGGAGGAGAGCACTGGTTACTTACCTCTAGGCTTTTCTCCTGTTAAGTGTGGGAGACATCAGTCTACTCTTCAATTTAGCTTCTGGAGTCATTTTGTTCTGTAAATGTGTAGTGGGAAGCTGCTGTCATTGTGGGCCATGCATAGGTGCATATCTTTGGCCGGAATTGTAGATGTACATGTTGTGTACTTTTCCCTCATAAGAAAGTTAAGAGCTTGCTCTTTTTCTTCATGAGTATTACAGTAATTCCTTATTTTATTGATCTCTATCAGAAAAGATCCTGTCTTGTTTGAAAAACAAAAACATATGAATATGGCAAGCAGCACACAGATGCAGAAATTGCTGCAGTTTGTAGTATCTACTTGACTGAAGATTTTTTGTTTTGAGGAAATTCATCCAGTCACTCTTTGATTTGACTTTATGTTTCAGTGCTGGACTGGTGCCTGATAACTGTCTTGGAACCTGCTGGACTTTGATATGGTTTTGAAGCAAAAGCATTAATACTTCCCCCTCCTCCCCATCCTACCCTTCCCTGCCCCAGTGTTTATTGGGATGCAAGGGGGGGGGGTGGGGGTGGGTTCTAGCCTTTGCTGCTTCCTTTGTGCTTATTTCTTTACCCCAGTGCAGTAGAGAAAACTCCTGTAGGAACAGGAGGGTGGTGGGAGTGAGGAAGTCTGCATTTCTTATTTCAGCTACTCCAGTCTGATACTGACCTCTGGCTTCCAGCCATGGAGATCACTAGACCCCAGATGCATATTAGTTGTCCACTCCTTTCCAAGGGCAGTGCTTCAGACATAATTTTTTTGAAATGTCAAGTACCTTTCTTCACAAGCAAGAAAGTTCCTGAAGCAGTTTCTTCTGCTGTTAGTACTTTGATTTTTAAAACTGACCTGCTTTAAGACTTTATTCTGAGCAAGGAAGGGGACTGTTGCTGTTGAAAGGGTAAAATTGTTAAGACCTGTGTAGCTATTGGGGGCAAGCCACGTAATAGCTGGCTACGGCTGAGCTAAACAGCCAAGAACAGAAGCTGACAGAAAGCTAGAAACTTGATAGCTAGATATTAAGGTATTTGTAGGTCAGCAGGAAAGTCTTAAGTTTCTCAGCTGGTTTCTGGTAAAATACCCTGTAGAGATTTAAAAAAGAAAAAGAAAAAAACACCCAAACCAAAGCGTGGAGGGGGAAAAGGAGTAGGAGTAATCTTGAAAGCCAGTGTGAGGCCTAGGCTTTAGCACTTCACATCGGTGTACAGCTTTCTGATAGAACACTGTTGGAGGTCAGCAAATAATGAATTGTGATAATCAAGCTGAGAAATTACGAAGGCTTTAATGAAATGTTTCTAGATCTCTGGTGTCAGAGATGTTTTGGTCACCTGCTGCTTAGAAGATGGCGGAGAGGTAAATCTGCTATAGCTTGTGGTAGATTTGATGACTAGGTAAGAAGGTAGGTTTTGTATTCGTAGAACAAATCTAATGCTGCAGAGCATGAAGCTGTGGAGTCTCTGCAGAGCACTTGTGTTCCATTCCCACTGCTATGCAACTAATATTCATTAAACCTTTCCTAATAGGGACTAATTTGAGGAAGAGACAGCTAATTCATGGAACCTATGCGATGTCCAGTTGTTTCTGATGAGTTTTATGAAAAAGTCAAGACAAAAAACTTGTCAGAAGATAATGCAAGCTGTGATGTGGTTTAGTGCCAGGTGTCCCTGCCTGTGGCAGTGGGGGTTGGAACTAGATGATCTTAAGGTCCTTTCCAACCCTAACTATTCTATGATTCTGATTCTGTGTGGGCTTTATCAAAGTGCTTGGTAAGAGGCTCTGGGGGTGGTACTAGTTCTGCAGTGAGAAAGGTCCTTGTTTACATCACTACCTTCTCTTAATCTAGTTTTCTGCTACTAGTTTTATATTCTGTGTTAAACTTGAACTTGTTTCCTTCCCACAAGGTTAAATGCAATGGAACTATGCTTATAATCAGATGGAGTAAATACTACAGTTTTTAACCATATTCAGTATCATCCTTACTTCTTTCATCCTGAAGCGCATTATCAATGAATTTAGAAGCTGAATAAAAGAACTGGCTGAGCTTGAAAGCGGGGAGATCATCTGCTTCCACTCCATGGTACTCCACAGCCATGTCGTGATAATATTCTGGTCCTGTGTCCACGTTTCGCTGACCATGGGCCGCATTGAGGATATGGGTGAAGCCTGCCTTCTGAAGGCTGTAGCGATCTAGTGCAGTTTTCCTGTTAAAACAAGATCTATCATGTAAGTGAAGAACCTTCTTAACCAGCAAGCCAGGAAAAAAAAAAAATCTGATTTGGTACGTTCTAAATGTTAATGGAACTGATAATGCTTCGAAAATGCATCATTTACCCTTGTAAAGATCTTCAGATACTGTCATTTAGAGTGAATGATACTTCTGGAGTTCATAACTATCTCTCCCAGGTCCTTAGAGCACCTTAAAAATGAATTTATTTTCCTGATGCCTTTGTAATGTAGGAAATACTGGCTTCTATCCATCTTATGCAAGAAGAAACTTGAGATACAGAAAGTAATAGAATGAATTATTCAAAGTCATAAATCAGTGGCAGAACATGAAATAGGACCCAGGAATTCTGCTTTCCCCTCCTGTCCCATCAATAGATATTGCAGAACTAATTAGAGTGAGTGATATGTGAGTAGTAAGATACTTAGGATTCAAAAAGAAGCTCTTTGTCCCTAAAAGAAGTTACTGAGTTTTTTCTCCAATTCTGTTTTAAAAAATAAAAATAGTTCTAAATATCACCCTTTTGTGGTCACAGCTCCCTTCCAGGTTTCCTTTTACTGTAGTGTTTGGTTAAACCAGAGGTCTAAAGCAAAAAGAACTAGATACAGAAACTGCATATTAGCCTTCAGTGAAAGCTGAAATTCTTGCATTTATCATAATATTCTAATTTATTATTGTCCTCTCTTCCCTTAGATAAGAGGAGTCAGATAGGTAAGGAAATCCTAGATTTTTGTGTGCCTAAACCCACTCTAAGTGCTTGCCAGCAGTCTGGAATTATTCAAAAAGTGCAGTTTGTAGCTAGGCATGTAAAAATCTTTTTGTTTCATTACAGAAAGCTTTTAGTTTTGGTAAGTTTTGTTCAGGAAAAGCTGTCAAGTATCATTAGTACCTAGGAGGACTACTGAGTTTTTTTCCCCCCAAAAAATTGCATAGGCTTTATTCTCGTAATGTTTTCACATAACTACTGCTGCCATAAATGAATTAGTGCATGATGTGAAACAGCTTTTTCCAACCAGGAGTACCTCTCTCCATAATGTTTCCTGAACATTTCAATGTGTAAATGCAGCTACTGCCACACAGGACATTGTGGTGGGCTACCTGTTGTGCTTCATAATTCTAGTGGTGACAGCTCAGAACAGCTTGATGCTGACTCTGCCTTCCCGGCCTCTGTCAGAGTTAAAACCCCCCTATGAACAGTGATTAGGGCATTTAACTGGGATATAAATACTGAATGTCTTACCTATGCTCACTCTTATCTAATTAAAGCTCATGGTAACTGGCTGTTCTGAGTAAATACTCCTCCCTGCAGAAATTACTTTGTGGACAGGAATGATAATGTCTTGGCCCTACTAGCATTGTTGTCATGAAGTAAAGTCCACTATGCAGTGATTTTTAAAAGTAGATAAAAACTCCAGATAGCGTGGTGATACCTGCTTAAGATCAGTCAACTCTGGAGGACAGAGAAGAAGCAGCACCTTGCTGCTAGTGCTGTGACTTGTCACCTTCACCTCAGGTTAATTAATGCACAGTCCTTCATGTTGCAGTGGTTGACCTAGAAAACTTTTTTCTTCCTTCTTTTAGGAGATTTGTGCCTTTGGATTCTCTTAAAGTGTACATCCTCTGTACACTTCACCAGCAAAGGCACTTCAGTTCTGTACTGTATGGATGGCCAGTAAAAAAAAAGAGTAAAGGTGCATGAACCACTTCTCTTGGTTTTGATGTGCTTGAGGTGAACTACAGGTTGTGCTTTCAAATTGTCTTATTTGACAATTGTCCCTGATGCTGGGATAGAGCAAATATGTTTTCCATTCACCAGGTTGGGCCAAAGCATGTATCCAACAAATCATGAAAGACTGATGGTTTCAGGTCAGAGATCTGTGCTCAACTAGAACCCCTGCAGTTGGAGACCTACATCCTGAATAGCAAGTAGGACTGCAGTGTAGTTAGGGATCAGTGAAAAAACAAAGTTTCTGATGGACTGTGGATGCTACCAGACATTAGCTTCTGCAAGTGCTGCTCAGGCTAATAAACAGCATTTGAATTATGTAATGAAATTGTTCTCAGCAAGGACAATGTCAAACAATAGGTTGCATGACAGTCATTAACATTTGACGCTTACATTCATCTGAAACACAGTTTTCCATTTCCTTGATTAGGTTCTCAGGGGATTGCCTTTTGACACAGTGGGTGAAATTAATGCATTTGTTTCTGATGGTTGCACTTACAGTCTTGTTCTCTGTGGAAGGATCTCATTTTCAAGTGTTCAGAGGCACCAGTGTTTCAATATGTATTCAGAAAGAAGGGATGCCATCTTTTCATTAACTGAGCAATCAGGTCAGTCTAGCTAACTACCTGGGAACTTCCCCCTCCACCTCCCAGTCTTGCCTATATCTGCATACTGTGCATTTTGGGGCTGGGATGGAATTAATCCTCCTCCTTTTTATTTAACCAATTAAAGGCAAGGCAGTTGGGTGTTTATTTTGCATCACAATTTGCATTAGCCATTGTTTTGCCTGTGTCCTGCTGGGGTTAGGGGATATGCATATTGTTACTCTTCTAGTTCCTTCTGTTTTCCACGGTTTGGGCTAAAAATGGAATCAGCAGTGGATCAACCTTGAATGCTGTTGCAAAAAGCCCATTGTAGATACTCAAGTGTAACAAAATCTTCTGTGAAATATCTGATTTTTCTTTTTTAAGTAAATTATAGGTGTATCAAGGAAATACTTAAGCTGTCCACTGTTTCTGGCAGCCAAGAACATTTACTCTTTTCCTCAGTGCTTGGGATAGGCTGATTTTAAAACATCTGGTTTTTAATTGCACTTGATATGTAAACAGGTTCAGCAGTACCCTTCTGGACTGAATGTTGCTTTGCCCAGTATAATTCTTATCTTTGCAATATGGATGCACATTTTCTTCTTTCTACAGATGTTGCTAATTTAGAAAAACTTCCAGAAAATGAGTGCTCAGTGTTGAGCATTCAAATCTGTTAAGATCTCCACACTTCCACTGGAATAGGTACTCAATGCGGTGTGTAGGTGTTATAGAACCTGTCAATTGAACAGAGACCCAAAATGCTTGCCCTGGCCAAGTGGAGCAGGGTCAATGTATGCCATGTGGGTAGATATGTGGCTTGTGCATCTGCAGGCTGAGCAGTTGCATGTAATCTGTAAAGTGGATGTTGGTACCTTTTTTCCATTAGATACTCTGGACAATGTGATCTCTGGAAAGCTTTTCTTAAGGTTTCTAATACATGAGATTGTGTAGAGATCTGATGAAACAGTTACTGTGGGATACAAAATAGGGTTCACTGGACTGCAAGAGGTGACTGCCTTGGGCTTTAGGATCTGCATCTTGTGAAGAAATCTGAAATGATGCTTACTCTTTTTCAAGAGCCAAGAATGCTTAGTTTCAAGCTTGATACGCAAATTAGAAGGCAGTTATGTTCTTCCTCCTTTCTCGCTATCACCCCAGTCTTGCACTTGATAATTATGTTTTCATAAAAGATACCTCTACTGTCCTTTCAAAAATTTTTTTCATTTTTTTCCTGATAAAATCTTTACCCAAAAGCTAGACAAACAGCCCAGCTAGACCACCACTTGTCATATGGGCCCAGGTTTGTCTGCTTTTTCACTCCCATCAGCTTTTTACCTTGTTCTTTGATCATAAATATTACTGGGAAGAGGCTGTGCTGAGACCCTGACACTGCCATAATATAGGCAGTTAAACTTGAGGTCATGCTGGGTCTGCAGTATGTTGATTGCCAGTTAACAGAGAGCAAGGAGCAGGCTGTTAAGCCTTCATATAGAGGGACCCATATGCTTGTAAATGGAAATGTTACTGTGCCCCTTGATGTGTTTGCTTGGAATGGCTTTAGCCATCAGTGAACTCCAGGTCTGTGCAAAGGACTGGCTTTCTTTCCAGCCTCAGCTGAATCTAGTGTTGTGGAAGCATCCCTTGTTACCGGTTTACCTTTACTAGAGCCTAGATTTTTTGTGTTTCACCATGCATCATGCTCCTGGTTATGTCCCAAGGAAGGGGGAATGCTTTTGGTCTTCCTTGATGTTTTTACTATGCCTGAGGTACTGGTATTTTAGATGAAAGGGAGGAATAAATCAAGCATAAATTTCTTCTAATATCCAACTGGTTTAGGTGACTAATAGCATAGGATCATTCAGGGATATATGAATCATAAACCTTATTGGGGGATTCATAACTCTTACTACTAATTCACTTTCAGCTAGAAATGGCACAGATTTTTCTCCCTTGCAATTGGCTCACTAGAAGAGTTTCATAGTCAAGCTAACAGTATTCCTCTTTTCCCTCTTCGGGTATTGCTGTTTCCTAAATTGCAATTAATAGTCATATTTTTGTGATCATGGTTGAGTTTTAAGTAGCCATTGTAAAGAAGAGTTTGCTACAAATGCCAGTGTAGGTGAAGCCTTAAACATTTGACTACTCTTGTGATTGTTTTCATTTTGTATGTCTCCACCATCTGTGCTCTTAGGACTTGATTTCTTTTCACATGGTGCAACTGGGGTCTCCAGTGTCTGCCTCGAACATGTTCCTATGCAGAGAAGGTAAAGTGTGGCACTGGGAGATAACAGTGAAATTTTCAGTGAAATTCACTTTAGTAAGAGACGAACTGGACAGATTGGTCCTGTGTAAAAACTCAACAGTTCTTCGGTTCAGAGCACATAAACATATGCTGATAGTTAAGCATACCCAGAAGTCCTTCCCTCTATAGGAAAGCATGTTAAGTAAAAACTCAGTGCTTTGCTGAATCAGACCCTGCATTTACTGTAGGACAGATGGACTCATAAACATGTTTTTAAAGTTCTGAGGCAAGGGGGAGTACTTTGATATGGGAATGCCACCTAAAGGGCGAAAACTTGAGATAAAATCACTTTCATGTAGGGACATATTGATAATAACAGACCCTCACTAAGAGCGGGGACTGTCCCAAACAAAAATGTCATCCGTTTTCAAATGGTTCCTAGAAGAGTATTTGCATCTTTCATGTTGTGCAAGGGCAAGTTAAGGGCTTGTCCAAAACTAACTGTGCGTGCTGTCAGTTTTAAAGCTTTAGATTCACAGGATTAAAAGCAAGCACTGCAGAAAACTCTCCCTTCTTCTGGAAGCAACTGGAAGTAACAGTGTAAGTAGTTGTAATGCGAAGGAAAAGCCTTCCTTTCAAGTTGCCATCTCCAGTGTACCAAATTCCTTCTCTTCTTTTCAAAAATACTGTCATAACAATCTTTAGTCCCAGCTGCTTTCATCAGGAAGTTGCCCAAACCAATGGAGTTGGAAAAGAGGGAAAAACAACTTGTAGGCACTGCAGCCTGAACCTCCACATCAAATGTTAAGTATATTAAAAGCAGCTAATGAAGAGAAGAGAAGCCAGCTGATGATGAAAACCCAAGTACATCTAAAGGAAGGGAAGTAATCCTCCAAAATGCCTCATGAGGATGTGGGCAGAGCAGCTTCCTTGACAGGTAAGTCAGCACCTTATAGCGGGTACTGGTCAACCAGACAACTGGTATGCTAGTAAACTCTTAAGTACAGTAAAGTATCTTAAGCTTGAGCAATGCAAACATATTTCAGTATAGACTGTTAAAACCACAGATTGATGTGACCCTGATTGACAAAACACAAGGAAATATGAGGCAACCTGTTACTAGAAGAGGAATTATCTCTCAAACTTTTCCATTTTCTTTAGCGCTGAAGGAAAGCTTGATGCAGGATGATAATTTACCAGATGGTCAGTGTCAGAAAGAAGCTTCCTGAATATAGGCAATACTGACACTTGCTTAAGAAAATCTGGCAGTTCTCCTTCCTGAGGAGAGATGTTGAGAATTTCCAATAATACTGACCCAATTTCCTTTGGTAACTCCAGCACTGAGGGAGTCTAGAGATAGTGAAGCACTGTATCCCCTTTTCCTTCTGAGGTGTTGCTCCATTTCTGTGGATACCTCCTGTTGAGTGTGAATTAGAAGAATTTTTAGGTACTGCTGAAAATGCTGAAGAGGATCTTTGTAATACGTGGTACAAAAAGATTTAGTAGTCCATTTTCTTCTGGTCCAAAGTGGTGGGGTTTGTTTTTGTAAATGATGCAACCTAGGTACAGGGAATACCTCTCTGCTTCATATGCAGCAGGGAGGCATCAAGTGAAGTAGTCAGTCAGATCCTGGTCTTGACTTCAGTCATTTGCCAAGTGTTAGGAATCGCCTGTGGAGAGAGATGTTGGTATCTGGGGAATTTTTACTTGTCTTGGAATTCATTGCTGTTTTAAGAGGTTTACGGTCTGGTGTTACAGATTTGATTTTCTGAATTGTTAAACTGCTGTTGCAATTGGCAGATCTTCATATTAACAAGGTTGAAACTATGTCCTCAAGAGAGTTCTTATAATCTAAATTTGCATGCACTTCTATTTTTTTTATGATTAATACTGCTGTAGATCCTAAGAGTTCATAATGGTAAAACAGTGGGTGGCAACTATTTTCTACCCATCTGTTTTCTTCTACATTAGTATAAATTGTCTTTATACTTAATCTCTTGGAAAAAGCCATACTGTATCCTTTTTCTGGAGAAAGGGTAGAGGAGAGAAGGAGTTTTATTTATATTTACCTATATTTAAAGCTTACTTATAGATGTTCATTATCCTACAGTTCAACCTGTAAGTCTGAGTTACTCATGTATCTTGTTGAATCTTACCTGTGCTAGTTCTCAAGACTCTGGGACAAGCACAGACAATAGCTTTCTTGAAGTACAAGCTTGGCTCAGCTGCATATCCAGAAAATTATTTTTCATATTTAACCTGTAAGGAAGTAGATTCCAGAAGACTTCTTTTCCTCTGGAGTAGTTTGAGAACACAGAAAGACCTGAAACTGTGATCAGGCCTTACATCCTAATGAGAGCTAGAGGGTGGTTAAAAGGAAAATAAAATCTGGGGAAGCCTTTGTCTTCAGCTAAAATATTCTTTGAAATTCAGAAAATTGGAACCATGATCATCATCTGGGGTAACAAGGCGATAACTGTTGCAAGAAGAAACTATAAGCTACATAGCTAGCAGAGGTATTTTCCATGTGATTGCAGTGAACCAAGCAGACTTGGGATTAGCCAATCAAACTGCCCATGCAAGTAACCCAGTGACCAGTGAAAGAAAGGAGCAAGACAAAGCTGCTTTCTATCCCTTTAGGCAGCCTTTAGGTGTGAGGAGGATATATGCAAGCACTAATCCTCGTAGCAGATGAATCAAGATCTTGGCAAAGCTTGTTTTATTCCTATCACTGGGCTGTCTCCTGCAAGTTCCAGTGTCTGGTCTTTAAAAGTCCTTGGAACTTGCTGGAGGAAAATTTCAATTGGAGCTGAACACAGCATGTTATATTTTGAGGCTTTGATTATTCTGGGTCTGACAGGCTCATGGAGATTTCATTGCCTCTGGGCAACATCTGCAGTGAAGCCTTGTAACAAAAGGATTGAGTGGCCTCACAGGGCTCCTTGGTAGCCTGTATTGCATTAGAAAGAAGATGTGGTTATGTAGTCAGGTTAATTAATTAGCATTTCCATAAGCAGTCACAAGTCCTGTTAACCTTGTAAATGCAGGAGGCAGGAATGAAGCACAGATGTGAAGGCTCTGAAGATAAACCCTGCATGTGTGTGTTCACTTGATTTTGTTGATGAGCTCCACTAAATTCTTTCAAGATCAACTTTAATTTAGCATGGCTAAGGATGCAAATGCAACCAACATCTGTTCATGTCTCCATGGCAGCTCTTCAGCAACCAATGCTACAGCATGATCTTAAAATAAAATAATACAAACCCCCCTGCCACACTGAAGGAGAAAGCTGTTGGTTGGAAGTAAGGTGTGGAGCTGGCTGAGGACAGATACAGAGGTCTGGACTTTGCCTGATTCAAATGAAATTTTAGTTCCAGTAATGAAAGCTGCATCTTGCCTGCAGACCAGTCATCGTCTTGGGCTTTCTGCTACTGAATGTCAAGTTTGCCCCTGTCTGGCTGACTAATTGGTCTTTTCCAGGGAGTCCCATTTTCTGGTGAACTTTTACTTCTGCTAACTCCCCATCTGCTCCTCAGATCTTTTTTCTTCTCCATTAGCTTTCTCATGCTTTTGTCCCAGTCAACTTGAGGAGCTTGTTTCCTCTTGAAGCACCATTGCTTTTCCTCCCGACTTAAGACTGGTCCGCTGCAGAAGTATACTCCCTGGTTTAAGTGGCCATAGCTAAAAGTACCTTTCAAGAAGTTTGGTTTTGCTGTTCCTCTGGTTAGTTTGTACTAAGTGCAGGTGTATTGTATTCAGAGTCACGCCTTCCAACATTTATTAAATTAACAAACCACTGCTACAGGAACAATTACAGGAAACAGTCAGTGGCTGCTGTCCTGGGCGCAGAAACTACTGTCCAAATACCTGTTGTCTCATTAGATTCCTTTGCTAGAGGGCAGAGCTGTAGCTTCATCACAGAGATAAGGAAATTCTTCCAGCAGCTTAATTCAGAAAATTCTGCTGGTGATTCTGAACAAGGAAGTAGGAAATAAGTGCTCTTTTTTACACTGAATCTTGAGTTAGAAATATGTAGCAAAACAGATAGGATAGGGTGGAGAGAGGACAACTCAACCCCCTTTTCTTTGTTCCTGAGTCATTTGGCCAGGCTCTTCTCATGGCTTAATCTCTAAAAGTCTCTGAAAGTGGGAGCCCAGAAATTATGTGTCTTTCTGTTCCCTCTGGCGCCACAGAAGTAATTGGTCTATGATATTAGGAGCCTTGTAACTTTCAAGGCTGTATATCTTTCCTCTTTTATAAGCTGGCAACAGATGAATTTTAGGACCTTTTAAAAAATTATTGAGAACTTTGTAGCCAGTGGGGCTCCTGCTTGTGCCTTTTGATAATGATGTAAAATAAACGTCATGTTAGCACAGGGTGTAGAGGAAAATGGGAAGTAGACCAGTAATGCCTAAGGGGTAAGAAAAGCACTCTTGCTCTGCTCAGGAGCTTGGGTTGGGGGATTTTCTGATGGCATGTCTCTGGGTTGCAGCAGCCATCTCTGCTTGTTGGAACAGGCTGTTTCTAGTTTAGTCCTGTGCTCAGCAGAGCTAAGTCTGTTTTGTGGGTTTGTTTTTTTTCCAAATCACACTTGGTCTGATCTGCAGCTTTGCCTTCCACAAGGTTCTGTTTGTTTTAATCTCTTGAGCAATTTGGAAGTACAGAGTATTCCATGTACAGAAGCACAAGCTTGGAAATGCAGAAATACCACTGTGAGTTGAGCTGTCCCTTTAATCACTTTTCAAGAATTACGTTTTAGGTTTAAACCAACCTAAGCTGTGGTCAACGCATCTAGGTCATGCTCTTCTGTCAGTGTAACTCTGGAATTTCACAAATTACTCCTTGCAATGAGCCATTTAAAAGTAGATCATGACTGCCTTCAACCGCAGCAGCCTACACTGGTGCCACAAGTGCTCCTGTTACTGAGACTTGAGCAGTAGACCCTGCCACGCTTATTCAGTGCTTTCCTGAACCAGCAGCAACCGACATGGTGTGCCCATATCTGGGGGCCTTCCCAGGCTCTGATGGCTCTGTTGGATTCTGGCATCTGTCAGTACCTTGTCAGACCACATCATCACTGCTAAAACTAACGAATGAGTAGGAGGAGGAAAGAAACACCGTGCTCTGTTGGTGAGCTGTACTTAGTGCAGCTTAGTCATCTCCTATGTAGAAGAGATGTGCTGTGTACACTTGCTCGTCCACTGTGTAGAGCAGTACTATGTATACTTACTCATCTCCAATGTAGAGATTGGGCCAGACTTCGTTGACATGAGTGTACTGTGGGCATCCTTTCCAGAAGAGTCGCTCCAATTCAAATGCACCTGGGGTGGAGTAATCCTCATCAGGCTCTACTTTCATTGCTTTGTATGCGTTTTTCTTCCCAGCATTCAAACCTTCTGATGACATCTTGTCCATGGAGTAGTGCTTTCGGTCGTGCAAGAAACTGGAATGTAACCAAAACAGAATGTTAAGGTGAGGAATCACAAAGCAGGCAACTTCTGCTCCAATTGTGTGATGCTGGGAGCAGCACTGGCCAGGTGTGTTTGGGCCGGGCAAGGAATGCTTTTGGACAAGCTCACCAGCAATGGGAGCAAAAGGCAAAAGTTTGTGATCACTGAAGATCGGTCTCCACTGGGAATTTGTTTCCTGGAAAGTCTACTGGCACAAATTTGTTAGGTCCAAGAGCCTGATCCAAGGGATCTAGAGCAGCTTGGAGAACTGAGTAGGGTAAGTATGTTTCATTATCGTTAACTGTGAATTTCATAAAGGCTTCTCTGAGTGGTTTTCAGCAATGCAGGGAGGTAAAATGTGTAGATTCAGGTAAATGTTGGGTGTACCAGTTCTGGTCTTTAAAGATCTTAATGCAGCCCTGCACACTGAACCTTGTAGGCTTTTTGCAGGAAGGAGAGTTTGCCTTTTGGCAGCACCACTGACTGATTGACAAAGTATTTTCTAGCCAGGTTGGGCTCAAGGACTTCCTTCTTTTGGGGTTCAAATTTGGCAGTTGGGGGGGGGGGGGGGGGTGTTTGGGTTTTTATTTTTTTTAACCTTGATGCGTACCTGCCAAGTGGGTAGGAAGAAGCAGCGATGAACATACAGAGGAGAGCAATGGAGTACTATTATCCTGTAGGTAAAACCAGAGTATCATTAATGGTGCTAAAAACAGCACCCTTTGCCTGTCCATGCTGTCAAAGCTGAGTTGCTCAAAACTGACAACCCTGATGTCCTGTGTGTCTGAGCTGTCTGCTAGTGTTGAATCCTTTGGTGTCAGCTTTACACATCTCTTGAAGGTCAAGATTCTTTCCTGGTTGCTGTAATTTTCTCAGCTGCTGTCCTGATCAGGGCTTTTCCCTGGGAAATTTTTCCCCCTCAGCTGTGGAGTCAGTAGTTAAAGCCCAGTTAGGTGATGTCCCTCCTCCCCCACTTCCTGAAGCTCTGCCTTGCTTAGGAACTGGGCACTGGCCCCAGGAGCAGCCTGGAGTTTTCAAAAAGCTGGTGAGCAAAGTTAAAGGCCAAGGACTAACGTGAGTCTCAATGCATTCCCCATCCACGTCTTTATGAAGACACTGCCTTAGGACGTGGCAGGTAACTGTAGGTTTGTTTTTGGACAGGTAAGTTCTTTGAGTCCACGGGTCATTTACATCTTCATTTAATTTTCCTAATCTCCTGCAGCTGAAGTATCCCAGGTAAAAGCCCATGAAATACATGTGATACAGAAACCCTTGCACCAGCAGCAACCCTACCAGCCACTGTGGGTGTAGTGCAGCTGCAAGAGTGCAATGCTATGCTCCTTAGCTCAGGTGTGGCACTGCGCTGTCCTCCCAGAGAAGCCACTTGGTATCCACATGCATACAGTGTTGGTGTGTTTAGATGAAGGATTTTTCAGATTATGTTTTATTTTCATTTTTTGATGACTTAAAGACAGTTTTGCATGGGGAGCGCTAAGGTACAGTACATCCACGTATTCTTAGTAAAGAAGAAGCAAAGCAGTGATTGACAAGTGATAAAGGTGTACATGAGAGCTTTTCAGTCCAAATTAGCAGCACTCTGCACACTACCAGACAAATACTCATGTCACAGGTCTAGGCACTATGTCAGAGAAGAATTATTGTGAGGGACATGGGTGTTGCAATTAATGTCTCCTTTGTTTTCTTCTGTGGCTGAAGGCAAATCACCTTTTGTTCTGCATGTTGTCAGCAGGAAGTTAAATCACTCATGCAGCTGGTCTTTACAGCAAACCTCTAGGAACTGGAATCTGGGGCTGTCTGCATGTCTGGCCTCCTATTTACCCTGTTGCCAGTTGTCACTTACCTATCTTGTCCTCTGAAAAAAGTGCTTTTTTTTCCCTTGTTGCCAGCCTTCTGCTGCAGACTCTTGCCTGCTCCATCTCCCTGTTGGGTCTGTCTTGTCTTCCGCTGGACTCCCTGATGTCTCAAGGCAGCAATTGCTCCTGTCTCTCATCCCCTTGAAGGGAGAAGTTGAACCTTGCAGTTCCATAGGAGACTTGTAACAAGAAGAGGTGGAGTTGGGCTTGACCTTATGAAGTATGCAAGTACAGCCTGCCAAAAATCCACCTTTCTTGCAGCGAACAAATCCTGTAGTGGCTCCCACAATTTTTTTTGTGTTGGCCACTAGTGATGTTTGTGTCCTTTAATTACAAAAATCTGGCTAATGCCTTCATGCAGCTGTTGTAGAGCTCTCCTGAAAGCAGGATGACCATTTTTCACTGACATCCCATGTACCCATGGGGTTTGTTTCCTCAGTTTGGGCTCTTTTGTGCATGTCATGTTCTGTTTCTCCACAAAACTTGAAAAAGCCAAATGATTCCTGTTTTCCTACTCCAAAGCTAGGCAAGATTGTGGAGCCAGTTTTTGTTTGGCATGTGTACACCTTTGTTCAAAAATTGGCTTGCTTTCACTGGCAAGGGGATCTGTCTTTCAGCCAAGCTTCCTAAAACATGATGATGATGTTTAGCTAAGTGGTCCTCTGCAGAGATTTGTAGAGGGCTCTGAGAAGTCTAGCTTTTAGCAGATTTACCTTGGGCTTGGGCTTGCCTGCCTCTGAGTAGCACCAAGTCCCATCTCTGTGCCCCCAGTAGACATTCCCCAGGAGAGAATTTTACCTTTCCATGCCAGAATTATGCAAATTCTACGTGCAGATTCCACAGTATAGATAATGTTAGGTAGTCAGAGATACAAATCTAATACAGTCTGACTTCAGAGTGAATAGGCTGTTATCTAGAACTTGATAAGAGCTGCTATCTGTCTAGTAAGGAATTATTTGTCTAGTAAGGAATTATCTTAGCTGAGAGCCTGCTGCCCTCATGCTGAAGGACTGACTATGGTTTTATTCACAGCTGCATAAAATGGGAGGGGAGGAAAAGAAGGGAAGAAGAGAAAGCAATGTAATTGGTAATCGTGCTCGGTGGCCACAATGCATTGATTTGTTACACCAATAGTCCCTCCTCGTAGACTGCAGACCTCAAAACAGGGCAATTACATGTGCAAATGATCGTTTGTGGTAGTGTGACACCGTCTCGCTTTGAAGCTTTGTTAGCACTCTGAAAGTTAGACCGCTGCTGAGAAATACTCGTTTCTGTCCTGGGAAGCCATATGCTCCCTGAACTTTCAAGTAAGCTATGTTCTTTTATGCCTTGCCAATATTATCTGCTGCAGGGATTTTTAAATTGAATTAGAGCACAGGAAAGCATCAGTTGAAATTCTTCTAGTAAAATATGTATTTCAGATTTGACTCTAGACTAAGTAAGAAATAACAGAGTTTAACTGGAAGGGGGAGAAGGGAGGCTGGTTTGCTACTTGAGCTCTGGAATTAATTGCCGTGAAGCATTTGGTTGGGGGTAGAGGGATGGAAAAGCTTGTGTCTTTCCAGGAACCAAAGATGTGTAACCTCATCTGTTACTGACTTTTCTGTGTACACCAAAGGGAGCTGAGGGAACACCATTCCCCAGGCCTGCCCTCTTAGATTAAAAAGTGAAAAGTAGATTGGATTTTTTTTCCATGGTGGTTCTTAAATGCTGTTGTGGATATAAGGATGACTGTCTGTGTAAAGATGACTGTCTAGCACAAACCCAGGCAGGAAAAGCTCAGATTTCTTTCACAGACCTCTGGGGAGAGGAAACCATTCCTTGCAGGGTGTTCACCCGGTACAGTCAGATGGCAGATTGCAGGGTTAGCCCTGCACAGGCTCATTGGAGCAGTTTCAAATCCCTTGCTGTGCTTCGTTAGGGCTAAAATGCTTTGCTTTACAGACTAGTTAGCGTAGACTGAGTGATGTAGCAGTGCAGCTGTCCCATACCAGTTCAGCAGTCGCTTCATGGCACCACACTGTGCCGGGAGCACACAACCTGTGATATGAAAGCTCTCTGCAGTAGGTACAGTCCTCGTGCCCTTTGCATGAGTCACTTCGCATCCCACTTGCCCCTGGAAGTGCTGCTCCAGCACAGGACAGCCTGTCTTACTTCATGGGGAGGGATGAAGAGGACAGTCAGCTAGCAGGAACTATCGTTGTTCCAGAGAGGTTCTCCTTGGCTGAAAGGTTTGAGCCCAACTTAGGAGTATAGTGAGGAACAGAGCCCTGCATCTGGGCCCAGGAATTACCTTCCAGTGAGGGCAATCTGCAGCGCAGCCCACTCTTCCCTTGTGCCCAGGCCACAGCTCCTCTCGTGCTGTGCTGTGCAGCAGCCAGCCTGTGTGAGCTGCTGAGATCTTCCTGTTCCCTCTCTGCCCACGCTGCAGTGGCTGGGTCCACCTCAGTGGGATGAGGTTCCGATGCTCAAGCCTGTGAGGTTTTGACTGCCAAGCCTGATGTCCTGCAGGTTCTGCTTCTCAATCCAGTGTGTGGATATAAAATGGAACTGCTGGTGCTCACCAATTATGCTGTCATGGGCTTAAGTGTATTATCAGAACAAGGGTGATAAAAATTCAGTCATCTGCATTTTTATACCCTAATCTTTCTCTTCATAAATAAGACCAAAGTGCATGTTATCTAATGAATTTTATTTGTTAATCACTTAGATGGCTGGAATATTTCTCCCCCTTGGGTTATATGTATATAAATGAAAATATTGTTAGTGATTTCATAAAATGGTAATTCAGAATAATGGAGAGTTAATCCTCTTTTCATTAGTGAGCCACTTCAGGACATACACTGTGGCAAATTACACTGCATTTTAAGTTGTTCTCAAGTGCTGTGCACTAGAAAAAAAAAAACATTAAACTGTTTTCGCATTGATAGAAGTAATTGTGTGGCTAATTTGGATAAGCAGCATGCATTAGGCACAACAAAGGAATCTCTTCTTTATGTTCACTATCCACTCTACAGCTGCCAAATGGAATTTCATATAGAGCTCTCTAGCTTTTTTCTATTTAAGAGAACAGGGAGAGAGAAAATAAAGTGCAAAGGGTAAAAAGAAAAAGGAAAAATCCTCCCCTTATTATACAGTCTATCTGCTGTATAATTCAAAGACTGAACACAGTCTAGTGGCTGGAGCAGTGATATGGCAGTGAAAGATTTCCTTTCTGCACCTTGTTCTGAGTCCCTTGAACTACTCAAATTAACCCAGAATTTCCAGGAAAGCACTAGAAAGTCACAGAACATAGTGGTCCATTTTCAACTTGGTTCAATGGGGGAGGATGTTCCTCCTACACCCCAGAATTTCTAGGGGGTTAGTTAGTGCTTTTGGAAACACCATACATGGGCTCTGCAGTTTGGTAATCCCACAGTTCTGGGGGGAGTGAGGACTAGGGTTCACATCTAGAGGTGAAGGTCAGAGCTTTGGTGGTAGTGCGTACATTTCTAATGCTGGTTTCCAGATGCGGTGGAAGTTTCTGAGTACTTTGAGACCAAAAGCTATAAGTCATTATCTACATAACAAAATACTATGTTTCTTAATATTTTTGGCTCAACATGCTATGCAAGCCTCAGTGCTGTGTATAAAGATGCCAAACAACTTGGCAAGATTTATGCCTGGGAGTGAAGATTCAAGTCAGCTGTAGAGATTTAAAAAAAAAAAGGAAAGCAAAGCAAAGAACCAGACATGCACAGAAAAGGATCGTCCTTTGCAAGGACCCATGTAACCTCTCCCCTTCTTTTTTGCACCCCTCCCTGACCCATGGGGGTTCCTCCATCACTGCTGTTGTCCCAGATATATGTACTCTGCCAATTTGTAGCTGTGTTTGTGTGCCTGAAGCTACAGGTCTCTGATAAGGTCAGAGCCCAATGGTGTTGCTACAAACATACAACTGAGCGAGGCTAAAGAAATAAAAGGTGAGAAGAAAAATGGAAATAGACAATTTTCCTTGCTCTTTCCTTCAGAAGGAACAACGGCAATCCTGTTAGCTATTCTGTCTTGCCTGTCATAGGGCACAGGGCTTCATTGCCTTAATGCCAGCTTCAGCCCGTATTTATATAGCAGAATAGTTTAAATTCTTTACCACCCATATTTACTGATCTTGGGAGTTCTCCCAGACCATATAACATCAATCACCTGTGCTAGTGGGGCTTTTGATCCTGGCTTTATTAAATTCAATTTGGTGTGCACAAGTGTACCAGCTGTGGTTTTTTACTTGTCTGAAAGATGCTGCTTCTGAAAATACCAAACAATCAGAAATTCTTCTGACTGTCTGTCAGCTCTGGGCCTTTCATGGGAAGTCTACAGAAGTAGAATCATAGAATAGTTAGGGTTGGAAAGGACCTTAAGATAATCTCGTTCCAACCCCCCTGCCATGAGCAGGGACACCTCACACTAAACCATGTCACCCAAAGCTCTGTCCAACCTGGACTTGAACACTGCCAGGAATGGAGCATTCACAGCTTCCCTGGGCAACCTATTCCAGTGCCTCACCACCCTTACAGTAAAGAACTTCTTTGTTATATCCAATCTAAACCTCCCCTGTTTAAGTTTTAACCCATTACCACTTGTCCTATTACTACAGTCCCTAGTGAAGAGCCCCTCTCCAGCATCCTTGTAGGCCCCCTTCAGATACTGGAAGGCTGCTAAAATACTGGAAGGCTGCTAAAATGACTGTAATGACAGTTCCAGTAGACCTTATGCCCACAGCAGTGCAGGAGGAGATAAACAGGGTGCCCCTGAAATTAGCCAGTGGTTTGACCCTCAAGTCTGGGGACTGAATTTATCTACTGGAAAAAAAGGCCCTGGAATTATGATTAAAAAATTATATATTTGTGTGAAGTACTTGTTACTGAGAAATTACTCCCATTTTCTTTTCTGATGTACGGAGAGATGACTTATGTTTTTATTTATCAGGTAGGATTCAACATCACTGAAATCCGAGGATGTCTATCTTACAGAAGGTCCAAACCTGAGACCTTCTTGGCTTCCAGACAACTTCAAAAATGCTTTTATTTTTATTTACATTTTAGCTTTATAACTGCCTTCATGGAGGAACAGTGTCTGTAACAAGTATGTGCAAGAGAGGGAAGTATCTAAGAGAAGGTAAGCATGGAGAATACCAGTTCTCCTACACTTTCAAGAACATGTGTAAAAGGCTTGAATCTAGTTTGGTAACCTGACTCCAGGTAGGCCCTCTCAGTGCTGAAGGCGAACAAAAATCAGATCTAATGGCTGAGGGTCTTCTGAAATATGAGGGAGGATCTATTTCTTGAGCAAGTTCTTGAATACTTAAGATATGTTCTGTTTTTCCATTTCCAGCCAGCATGCCAGGTACATACCTCCCTGCAGGGTGAAAAAGTACTTACTCTTTTTGAGTATGACTAAGCAGAGGGCTGGTTTATAAACTGGAAAGTTCTCCTTGCAGAAGCCAATGCACATGCTCTCTGGAGAGCAGTGTTTGCACTTGGGAGGAGGGTAAACAGTGCTTTGGTTTCTAAGCTTTTCATGACTCAAAGTACATCAGTCGAGTTTAGAGTTGGTTAGCTGCAGTAACAAAAGCTTGCTTTGTCAGATGGTTTAACTAAATGAATTTAAAACGGTGCTCACTGATATGCCACCCTCATGACATTTTACTCAGACCCAAAAAAGCTGGCAAAAGCTGTATGCTTCCTGTGTAACTTGGCACTGCTGCACCCCAGGGAACCGCAATGAAGTGCGGCACTGCAAAGGTTCCTTAGGTGGCTTTTCCCTCCTAACACTAGACCAAAAAACTTAATTTTGTACAAACACGTCTTGGGGGGGAGGAGGAGTAAGTCCTTTTAAAATAAATCTTTCTCTAAAAGAGCCCAGGAACAATTAAGCAAAGTGTTGTACATCCAGAACTGGAAATCCCTGGGGTACCTGCAGTATACTTAAGAATAACACAATCCTCTGTTCCTTCTTACTGTCCTAGGCTTCAGCAAAAACTGTCATTTACTTCAGCTCTTTTATTTTACCCTGCATTCTTATGCTGGAAGTGTTCAGGGACTGTAAAATGTTTCATCCAATGCATTTGTCTTTAAACAGTGAAACTAGAGAAATCATAGCCTCTGTGAAATTATTTCCCAGCCCCTCCTGCTGTGAATATTCAAAACTAACCAGCTATTTCAATGAATTTCTAAGCCACTGATGACTCTTTAAAAACTTATTTTTTGCCCTCATTCTTTATTGTTGACTGAACTGGTTAATGTAAAACAGATTATGCTGAGATTTCATTAAATATTATGAGAGTGCCCAAAGAAACTTAAAACACAGCATCATCTGAGAGAATTGTAATTCAGTTGGAAAAGTTAGATTTGACTGGAGGGTGGAGTAATTAGCAAAAAATAAGCAAAATGTTCTGAGACAGATGTTACAAAAGCTTGAAAAACTGCACTTTTATTCCTAACTTTTAAATTGAAATTATCTTTAAGATAAATACCCTTCTGGCACCTCATTTCCTTGTCTATAAAGTCATTTCTGTAACATGACCGATTGGTTTACTAAAAACCTAAAAATTATACTTTAACAGCTGTTTTGACTCTCCAGTAGTTTTAAACCTTTTTTATCTCTTCAACAAGCTTGTGAAGTTATAAGTTACCTTAGAAAGTTTGCCAGCTCTTGGTCCTCTCCCTAGTTTAGTAAACTAGGTAATAAAAGGAGGAAAAGGAGCACAAGAAGTACAGCAGAAAAGGTATATTGCTTAGCCTTACCTGTAACCTTAGGTGGGTGCTCTGGGTAGCTGGGTCCCGTTAAGTGTGGCAGAACGACAAAAGAAATCTTACCAACTTTGCCACTGGAGTCTATTTTTAGAGGAGGATTTGCTGCCTCTGACCTTGAGTACTACCCACTCCAAAGGGCGATCTTTACATCTGCTGGTAAAACTATTCCCTGATGTGACCCGAAACATTAAACCTGGTAATTTAGTTACCCAGCCTTGGTATGACTAAGATAATGTGATCCTGTGTGTTGACTGTAATAAAACTCATCTTTTATCTTCTTGTCCTTTGTCAAGCCTCATGCTATGTTTACTACTGCATGTGGGTTAGGAGCATTGCAGTGCTGTTTTCTGTCATGCTGTGCACAAGTGATTTGGCACTGGCACAGCAAAGGGCAGTGGGAATGAGCCTGACAAGACCCTCATCTCTTGTATGTTCACTACCATTAAGACATCTTTCCCTACTTAGGTTGATCAAAGGTCAAATCTGGTTTCCCCAGTGTCAGAGCCACACTTCTTCAGCTCCAGCTGTTTGTCCACTGTGAGTGTGGTGACCTTATTAGCCCACAGGGCTGTTTGCTAGAGGGATCAATGTTCATGAGAGAAGCTGGTGCACAATATCCTCTCTCCAAGCATTTGTTCTGCAGCAAACCAAGGCTCAGTGTTGCCAACTTGGACAACATCATTGAGATTAATGTGAATTTGGTCTTGCTGGAGCCAGGCTTCCAATGACGTATGAAGCTCCAACTGTCACTTGAGTATCCATATTTCTCAGGGCAAATTCTTCAGATCCATCGCCTTCTGCCAGGGAGTTGGGGAAGGAGGCAAAGGGGTCAGTCTGCATGAGGGCATGACACCGGGAAGTAGCCCATTGGTCTTTGCACCTACTTTCTGGAGCCTCCTGGCCCCTTCTGTTGAGAGTGGTCTCTCTGAGCAGACCTGCGTGTGCTGCTTGCCTGTCTTTTGGACTCACAGCGCTCCCTACTTTCACCCCCCTTAAAAACATATAGAAAGCAGCCAGTTGTTGATGAATACCCACTGTGGACCTTTTCTCATCTCTTGCAAAAACAGGAGCAATCCTCAGTGAATGCAAGTGCCTGTACTTGACCAATGTTTCAGGTTGGCCGGTCATTTTTTCCTGAAGTATGCAAGTCCCATGGTAGGTGCCATTAATTTTCAGTGGGATACAAGTTCCTCTGTCAGTTATTTTTAATGTTACTTCAAATCCTTCCAACTACCTTCATCATCTCCTGCCTGTATAACAGATAAAAGTTCATCCCAGAAGGACCAGGACCAGACTTGGTCATGGCCTGTGTCTAATACTGCAGTACAGATGTGAAGTAATAACAAACAGTTTCAGTTCAAGTTCTGGGCATTGGATCTGCTGCTGTTTCATGCTAACAGCATCACTCTAGCCAAGTTTCTGTATTACAGAGCAGCCAGGCTCCTCCCTGCCAATTATTCAGATAGTTGCTCTTAAAATGAGAAAGAGCTTAGATATTAGAAACCTGCTGTGTCTTCTAAGTTACCTTGGAAGGTTGTTGTGCAAATTAATTCTATACCGGTAACAGAGAAACTTTGTGGAGAAAGAGATACAGACCCCATATAACAGAACCTAGCAGGGACTGGTTTATTTTTATCCTTGCAGGCAACCCAGTATGGGTGAATATGGGTAAGATGATACAGCAGACCAGCAGTGCTGGTGTGGGAGGCTGCTCTGTGAGGTGTGCAATGGAAGGTCTGTGTGCTGCGGGTGGTGCAGCATGGGGATACGCAGTGGTCTGTAGCTTCTGTTGGGCTGTCACTCCCCAAGGTTGTCTTTCTGATGTCAGATCGATGGTATGACAGTGTTTTGTGGTATTGTTTTTTCAGGCTGGCATGTTGAATTCCAAGAATATTAAGTTGAAACAGAAGTATTTGTTTGTCTGCCTGGCTGTCAAAACAATATGAGCCCTTGTGCCCCTTTCTCTGTAGGGTCCCAAGAATGCATAGGGAGGGATCATTCTAGTCCTGGAATAATGTTCTATTTTTGGCACCAGTTTCCATTAGTGTGTGTGTTTCCATTAGTTTTGCTCTTGTTAAATAAAACATGCTAGCTGATGAGATGTTCTGTGAGGGTCCAGTGACTTACAGTGCTGTGGAGCCTGGACACATGGAAAACACCCCAGGAAGGCTCTTATTTTGGAGGAGGTAAGCACCTGCCCTCTGGAAAGTTGAATAGTTGCCTTGGGCTCCTAAAAGCAGATGTTTGCCATGTTATTGGACACTTCTGAAAACCTTGGCTAAGCTGATGTTGGTGCTTTGAACATGCAGTTCACTCCCCCTTCCAGCAGCCTTGCATGCATTCAGCTTGCTCTTGCTCAGTGTGCACGTCCCTGCTCCTGCCTGTGGTCACCCACTGGCCCTGTGTGCCTGTCTAACCAAAGCAACTGCACTAAGCCCAGAACATGACCCTGGGTAAAAATTCCCTGGGTAAAAATTCATTATCCCTCTATTTTTCATGTGTATTCTGAAAGTGTCTAAGAGCCAACCAAGAATAGGCCAGGCACTATCCAGATGCATGATAAAAGACAATTCCTCCAATTCAGAGATGATGTTCTAGATAGAAAGGCTTAGATGACACCTAAACAGAGTGAGAAAGTCTGGCCAAAATGTCACTGACCAGCTCCCTCAGTGGCAGTTTCTGTGGCACAGAGTACGGAAGCTATTGAGAGCTAAAGGCCCATTCAGGGAGGGAAGAAGTGGGAAGTGGGGAGAACAGAAGTTTAAAAATGGGGGAGGGCAAAAAAAAACTTAGGAGGACTGAATTTCTTCAACAAGCACTGAGTAAAGAAAAGGAGAAGAGAGAGAAATGACAGATTTCTGTCCAGACCACACTAGAGGTGCAGTTGGAAAAATCTGACACTCTTATTTTCTAAGGCTTGAAATTTTTATGTTACTTTAAAGTAAAAGCTTTGAGTAAAGCTCTGCTTTAGCAGACTTCCCTCCCCCATCCCAACCTGGTGGACTGGAAGATTTCCTCTTCGCTACAAAATATGCTATTATTTGGAAAAGCTGGGGTTTTAACAATTGCATGGGAAGAATAAGTATATAATTATATAAGATTGGCCTAATGGACATTTGCAGCTGTACTGAGATGCTAACAGCATGCAGAAACCATTATGTTTCCAGTTGTTTGGCAAAAGTTAAGAAACCTTATATATATATATTTATATATATATATAAGTTAACCATAAAGTAAATCCAGATGGTTCTCTCTTGCACAGACAAGCAGTCTTCAGACTAGACATATAGCTGTAGCCTGGCTATAACTTGTTTTGATTACTGCAGATAAAATATTTTAAATGACTGTGCACCCTCTTCACAAAATGCTGTGTGCCCTTGATTCTTGCTGAAGTCAACTGGCATTTTTGCAGCACTACATAAAACTTGTTTGACAATACCTTGTGTGCATGAGTATGTAGTTGGGTATTACTTGTTTAATTTCTCTTTCTACTGAAGTATTGCTTAATGGCCCCCATCAGGGTTTTGGGCTCTGCTGAGGCAGGCATTGCAGACTCATAAAACACAAAGGACAGTTGCTGCCCTATGCAACCTCCCGCTTGAGCCTGTTCTTGTCTCTTCATTGCCTAGTTAAGGATTGCTGGAAAATATTGGTCGTGTTCTTATTTTTGATTGATGTATTCAGATTTTTATTTGATTCTTTAATAAGCATTGTCTGTTATGTTCATTACTCCATTTCATCTAGACGTCAGTTGTGCTAGCTTCTATCAGCAGGGGAATCAGAATTATGTTGCCTTGAGAGACTATTCTGCAAATCAAATCAAACCAGCAGCTTTGCTTCACAGGGCAAAGATTTAGGTGTCTGAATGTTTTAAGTCAACACATTAGGAGCACTTCTAAAGTTCTGAAAAAAGGGGAACTGAAAGGTTCATCAGAATGTATAGATTCATGGTATGTTACTTTTTATGTTGGTTTGTTGGGTGTTTTTTAAGTCAATAAGCAAGTGTTCTTGTAGATAACAGTTGATGTTGTTTGTCCAAGTAGTATAACAAGTAGGAATACTGTTTTATGAGCTGCTTAAGCAGTATTGTCGGAAGGGCAAGTTGGATTTGACCTGGTAGGAGTCAGATTTAATGGCTGATGAGTCTCCTGCTAAATCTCTGACAGGGCTAATAGCCCAGCATTAGTGGCTGTGTTTGCAGGACAGTGTTTGAGGCTAGAGATGAAACAAGCTTCCCTGGGGACTAGGAAGGAAGGACCCCAGTCCTGAACAAGGTTCCCTGGCCTTCCCTGGGCTTGTGGGGGGAGGCTGAGGCCATGGCTCTGAAAGGCATTTTGTTCACTGTTCTGCTTTTTCTCTGTCAGCAGAAAAAAATGTTCTGGGAGATTTGTGTTGAAATGGAGTATAGATCCCAAGGCACAAGAATGTGGAAAATAAGGGATGAGGGCTTTGTTGTGTAACCTCCCCTTACCAAAGAACGCTGGGAACAGGAAGAGCATGGGGCCCCAAACTGCTTACCCCTGTTTCCCAGTCAGTACTAAGAGGTAGTCCTTCGAGAAGAGCACCTACCATGGAAATCCTACACACAGAAAGTATTAACCATTGAGTATATACTTCTGTGCAGGGCACCCTCATGTGCTTCTGAGGCCCAAAAATGGGACACTTCCAATTGGTCATAACATGTAAACTGCTCTACAAAGAAAATGGCATTCCCAAAATTCAAGGTGGTTTTGTCCCTAATATCCCATAGTATCACACACACAGGATTGCACTTAAATTCTCTTGACAACATGTTGGGAAACTGTCACAGTCTGTTTCTACTCTTGTTGTTCATTGGGGTAAGAAAGGTTTTTCTTCTTCTCTATTTCCTTAATAACATTGCTGCGGATTCCAGAAACGTGTGGTCTAACCCATTCCCTAAGCATAGCATGTTTTAAAAAATAAAAATAATAGGTACTTGGTATGTCACTCTCATCAGAAAGTTTTGTCCAGACATGCTGAGAGCAGGTTTTGGGTCAGCATAATCTCGTGGTATACAGAGTGCCAAATTCAGAGTTGAATAGAGCTCAGAGCCAGAAATTGGATTGATGTTTACTGTCCTCTTGATACAGGCTTCTGACTCATTGG